ATATGTATAAAAATATATTTTTTAATATTTAAAGAAACATAGTATCAAATTTGAATAGATATTTATTTCTATTATTTCATATGCAACATATTTTAATTTTTATATACATTTTTACACGATAAAAAAGTATAAAATATATGTTAAATTTTTATACCTTAGAAAGTTTCATTTTATTGTTTCCTATATAAGTTCATGTATAACCAGGATCATTTACTAAGTAATATGATTATAAAAAGAAGACTTGATTAATAGTATAGATTATATATTTTTATATTATATTATGAATAAATGTTATACTTTTCTATTTATTCATATTTATATAACATTATTGTTATATACATGTCAATGCTAACGTGTATAAAATAATCTTTCTAAAAAGTCCATATGTTCAAGTTTAAATGAAAATACCTCTGGGAAATATATGTATATAATAAAATAAAGCGAATATATTAATTCCATTATATACGAACAACTTATATTGAAATTTTTTTTTTAACTTTATGGATAATATATTTTTTTCATATCTTCATATATATATATTAATTTAATTCTTTTTTACATAAAATTTTATGCACGAGAAAATGTATTCTTACATGTTTCATAAGATATTTCTGTAATTTATTTTTAAGGGAATTTATGTTATTTCATAAAAAAATTTTATGAATTTGTAAACAAATTAATATTGCGCGTTTGCTTTATATAATATTACAATAATAGAAATATATACTCTTATTTATATTCATATTCGCAGGAGTGCATAATAATGCATATAAAAGAAAAAAAATTAACTTTTAAAACAATAAAATTATTTACAATCGGATTATACTATTCCTGTATCTGTATATACATCTGATGATATATGAAAATTAATATATCTTATAATCTCTGATAAAGCTTAGTGAAATACTTTATCAAAAAATTGCAGCTGATATAACATATATATATTAAAGAATTTAATTAGAAGATAAATTTTATGAAAATTCATTATATTATGTATATTCTAAAATTTTTATATATATAATATTTGCTATAACTGCGTATAATTATATATATTCTTATATATAATAACACATTCTTTTCCTAATTTTTATGCTGAACTATATTATACTAACGAAATATATAAATTTTAATACATATAATTTTTAGATTTCCTTATTTTTTAAAATTTCTAAATAGAATATTTAATAATAATTCTTCATATTATTGTATAATAATATCACAAGTTATAATACATTGCACTAATTCATTTATATAGAATTCAATGTGAGTTATTATCTCTTATTAAAATTATCATCAAAAAGATATAATGATTATAGAAATTTTTCTTTATTGCTATATAAAAGAGAACACTCTTAAAATATCGTATAAATTGTAGGTAAAAATGTAATGACTGTTTTTCTCATAGAATATGAAACAAGATACATAGCATAAGAATTATTCTTTTATTGTAGGTTTAATGAATTTTATTTCATACTACATTTGTAAATTATAAAATTAGAAAATTTATAATATATATAATAAAATATATGTTTATATTTTGAATTAAAAAATGAATTAAATATATTTCCAAAAAAAAATTTATTTATTTCAATATTTTTAAATAAATTATAACATAATTTATTATAAATAAAAAATGGATAATGAATTTTTTTATTATTTGTATAATTCAGCATGCTGCAAATTCTATAAATTATTTAAGGATAGGATGAAAAAAAAAAAAAAGATAGCAACCTTTTTTTATATTACAAGAAAAAAATTTAAAAACAGATGTTTTAATTTTGATTATTTATTCTATATAGTATGAGTTTTACATATTATTAAATAGTACGAGATTTTTAAATAATTTTTAGTCCTATGAATCATAACATTAATTGATGTATTCGAAATTATAATATATGTAACGAATAATATAATAAAATCAAATTATTTATGAAATATGTTATATTTATTATACTAAAAGCTTATATTATTTTATAAATAATAAAAAGTTAAATATAAAACTTTAAAATGTATTACTATAAATTCTATATAGATAGTTTTTATATTATATTAATACTTACATTGTAATAATTTAATCTAAATTCTCTAATATTATTAACATATTTTTAAATATACATATATATTATATTTATACAAAAAATTAAATCAAAAATCAAGACATCAATATAAGTAATATTTATTTTCATTTCATACTAACATAGTATGTAATTCTAATAAATACTATCTCTTTAATACATACTCGTTACTATTTAAAAAAATAAAAATAAAAAAATTGATGTAATTTATATTATTTAAGTTAATTATTTCCTATTATATTTAATAATATAGTATAAAAATAAAGAATTATGAAGCAACAAAATAATCCATGATAAAATCACATATAATTACATAAAATTAAGATCATAATTTTATTTTAGTTTAAAATATATATATTTATAATAAGAAGCACATATTTATTTATATGTTAATATATTAATAAATATAAAATGATATATTTTAATTTGCTTGTAAATTGCTTTTAATACGCATTACAATTTAAAAATTATAATACGTTATATTCTGAAATTTAATAAATAATATATTTATTTTAACATATTATTTATATTTACCTTGTGCATTATGAAATAATTTAGTAATTTAAAAAGTATATACGAATAATGTATATTTTATAATATCATCTTTAACTTTGTATTGTTTTAATTAATGATTTATCGTATTCAGTTTTCTTTTGATTTAAAAAATAATTAAACCAAAGTTATATCCATAATATATAGAATATTAAATGACATTCCTTCTTATAAAAAAAATAATGTCATTAAATATTCTGTTCTTTATACATATTATGTATAATTGTTAGATATATTTTGTGAAATTCTCTGAATTCTAATAAACTATATTATTTTATATAAGATATGAACATTTCCTTTTTATGTATTAATCCATGTAACATATTTTTTATAATATAATGTATTTTCTAGTATAATTTATTTATCCTATTATATACAATAAATCATAGAATTATAAAATAATAATATAATATATTATATATCAAAATGGGTTAATATTATTGGGATTCATTATATATATTTTTTTAAATTCAATTAAAGTATGATTCATGATTTATAAATACAGATACATTTATATTATTATTTATTTTAAATGGTTGTAACTTTTATTTTATATAACTAATATGAAGACTCTTTTCATTTTTGTATTAATGTAATAAAGTATACATTCATTGTGTCTCTAATAATTACTAGGATTAGGTTATATATGTATTAATAATGAATACGCACAATAAAAAATTTACATCAAATATATAATTAGCTGAAATATGATAATATTATTGTTCTTAGTGCCCTATATTTTTATTTTTTAGATCTCATATCTTTATATATATATATATATATATTGTACTAATATATTTAGTTTAGATATTAAATAATATAAATATCTATGAGATGGCGGACATAAATATATGTTTTAATTATTGTAAAATATATAAAAAATTATAGTACATTTATAATTCATTTTATATATATGTATATATATATTTACGAACTTAAAAGTAGATATTCATATATTATTAAATTATTTTAATTTTTAGTATGAATATATTAAACATTTTTCTGAATGTGAAACTTTTATGAATGAAAGTGAAACATATAAAAATTCATGTTATAATAAAATTTGTAATAAAATTGAACTAAGTAATTTTTATGAATCTGGAAACAGAAATATGTACAGGTGCATGAAATTTATGCATTATATATCCAATATATATTTTAAAACAGAATCCACAGACCTACAGAAAACCTATGTGTGTACTTGTATTATTGGATATATCATTATCTTATGGAAATTAAAAAAGGTAACATCACCAAAATATTTTTTAATGCATTGCTTAAGACATACAAAGATTATGCTTGTAACATTAATTTATGAATAAATTATAGGAATGATCATGCAGAAAATATTTTGAATGCATACATACATATGATATATATATGTGTCTAAATTGGGATGGTGGTAAAACACATAATAACCACAAGCATTTTTGTAATGCACATCATAAAATTATTGAATTAAAAGGCAAACGAACGCAAAAAAAAATACAAGATATACCTAGAATTATTCCAATTTTACACCCACAACAACGACCACATGCAGGTCAAATGTTGCAGTTCCTATTTTAGTCACATTGATTGTAATAATATTAATATATTATTTATTTTTGTTCGTTCATAAGGTTATTTATTATGTTATTTTTAAATATCCTGTAATATAATTTCTTTAAATAATTTAAAAAAAAAAAGGAAAAATTTATACATAAAAAAATGTATTCTTATTCCTTATATTTTTTTGTATTATGTATTGTACACACCATGTGGATTGTGGATAAGCCGTGTAAAAGACAGTTTAAGAAAGAAATGGAATAAAATAGAGAAAACTAATGTATTTTTAAGAATCATGACATACGCACTAACATTTCAGATTTTTTGGAATATAATGTGTTATATAATTGTGATTAATTTTACGAATAAATATATAATTCAAAACATATAATAAATGTAAGCAAAATTGGATCATAGGACAGTACATTGTGTTTGTTGCAATGGTGAAAAATATATATTCGTACTAATAGTACTTTTGATATCATATTAACGATGAAATATAATATAATATTTTGTAATAAAAAAGTGTTCAGCCTTTATGCTATTTTTTTTTAAATAGTATTATAAATTCTTTATTTTAGTCATATGAACGGGCAAACATGCACTTATTTTTTTAGAGAAATGATGATTAAAAATTTCATGTTTATGTATATTTAAAAATATATACATGATATATTGGTGAAAACATTATTTTTCTTATATTAATATAAATTATTTATAATAGAGTATTCATTATTGATAACGCATTTAATTATGTAATATAAAATAATTATTCATATATTTTAAAATTAATAATTTTATAAGCTACATATTAATATTTAAGTATCATTTTATTTCATAATTAGTATTACATAATTTTCACGATAATATATTTTTTAATATGGAAAGTAATTTTTCTCCCTATATACCTAAGGTTCATATACATCAACAATTATAATTACATAACTAGAATAATTTACCAAATAAAAGTGTCATGTACAAAATGCATTTTATTACTAATATATTGGGAATTAATATATTTCCATTTTTAATACATATAATTATATAAATTCATATTTTATATACATTTTTTCTATCCCTATGATATTTATTATATAATATAATAAGAATTATTATAATTTAACTCTACACATTTGTTTATTATGTGGTATCATAATGTTTTTCATTGCAGAAGTATTTTAATGTTGTTTTCATTGTCTCATAAGAATTATGTAGTATAAATTTTTTGGTCGTTCTTATTTCATCCTATATTTTACTTTTTAATATCTAACACCCGTGCACGATATAAATGAAATAATATATTATTAAGCAAAAAAAATAAAAAAAAAATAGAAGTAATAAGAATATATGTAAGAGAAAATTTATAACAATATGTTAATAAAATTTATGATTAATATCAATAATTCTAATATAATTTATTTTATTTTTATGAATAACTGTAAGACATATGAAAAAATCGTATTACTGAACATGTATCTATAAGTTATACTAAAATATTATCTCTGTAGCTTAAGAAAAAACATTAAAATTTTATTTAAAGTAATTTTGTAATAAAAGATTCATTCTTCATATTGAAAAATTATATTTCATGCATATATATATACACTTCTATGAAATTTATCTATTTGTAAGTTATATATACATATATATATATGGTTTGTGCTAAACGAAGTTATTAATTAAGAATCATTTATAAAATACATTAACATTTTGAAGAATAACTATTAACGTCTTATGTGATTCCTAATATTTCATCCCTAATTTATTTTCTGTCAGCAAAACCTACTTAATAATTTGAATTAGATATATAATTGATGAAACATTTGTAAAGTCATAAAATATTATTATTTTATATTTGAAGCCTATTTAATATTAAATAAGATTCTAATATGTTAATTTAGGATAATGTTTGTACATACTAGAATTTTAAATAATTTTTTCTATGAATGTGTTCATCAAATGAGATGTTACAATATATCACACACATTCGATGTGTTATGCCTTATTCCTAGTATATTCAAATTTCAGTATTTCACATCTTTATATTTAATTTACTTTCTAATTCATTGAGATCCTTTATCAATCAAATTCTTTTCATTGTATGCTATATCGACTTATTTTGTTTGTGCTTTACATTTTTAAATTTTACATACTAGGTGTTATAAAATAATCATATTTTTTAACATTTAATGAAAATAATTGGTGCTTTGATACACTGATTATATCTATACTGAGACATATAATATTACGCAACAGTATATGTACCCAATGCACAAAAATTTTCAATTTTTTATTATACACAAGGTTAAAAAATAAATTTTAATTTAATAATTTTACATTTCTTATTAATTTTAATAAAAAAACATAAAAGTATATATACAATTTGAGTAAATGTATTATATTCTATTATATAATTAATTATTATATAGAAAAATAAGTTTCATTTATATATATATTTACTTGCTATACACCTAACTTTAAATTGTTCTATGAAAAATTAATTATAATTGATTTTATTGTAATATTATTAATAAATTTATAATTGTAAAACTATAACTATAATAAAAACCTTTCATGTCCCACAATTACACTTAACATTGTTTTTAACAAATAAAATTCTTAACTGACAAGTTCGTGTTTAAATTTTTCAATAGCGAATATTGTAAGCCTTATTTGGAAAAATATATAATTTTTAAAAAACATTCTATTTAACGAATATTTATATAATATAAAAAAAATTATCTTAGTGATTTTGTTCAAAATCCATTTTATTAATGCTTTTAAAATTAATCAGTATATAATTCCATCTTTCAAAAATATCACATTCACAAAATTAAATAGATTTATTATAAATTTAACAATTCCTTAGTGATGAATTTATATGTTATATAAATTTATTATCCATATTAAAATATAAATAATCAAATAAGGTTATATATTAAAATCATATGAAACAACTATACGTATTGAAATACAAAAATAATAATATTTCAATTATTATTATTATTAATTATAATACCCAATACATTACATGCATTAAATTTGATACCATTCCTCACTGGATACCATCTTAACTTTGCATACAATATATATACCATTAATTGATAAAATAATAATAGTATTTATATATATAACAATTTATGTAATATAATCCATGTTTGAATAATAATTAACTAAAAGATACCTATCAATCATATATAAAAATTCATTATTATTTTGGATTAAGTTATTATTTCTTCTTAAAATATTATAATGATGGATATAGGAAATGCGAAATTTTTATGAATGCGATATTACACAAGAATTATATATAATGTACTAATTAATAATTTATTTATATATGAATATTATTAATATTATATAAATTTTGATAAAATAATTGTTTGATTTTTCATATTATATGTCACTATATTTAGTAATATATGCCTATATGCTTCTTTATTACATTATTATTTTTATAACTACTACAAATTTATGTAGTGTCATCTAAGATGGGAACAATAGATGTGAGTTCTTATTAATAATATATAAATTACAACAATATAAAGATATATTGTATCAAAAGTAATATGAATTATTATACAAAAATGTATTTCAATTGTCATATATTCCTTATTTATTTATTTTTTTAAATATAAATTAGTAAAATACGTTCCTAAATGTCATGAAATTATAAATGAATATGTTTCAAATCCGGCATTCATGGGTGATCAATGCATTGATGATGTTTGTGCTTCATATGTTGATTTACGTGGTAAATTCAAGATAGAAATATGAAAAACAGCCTTGTAATTTGTATCTATTGTGGAAAAAAGTATACATAATATACCTAAGAGGGCATATTTATTATACGAGTGCTATTGGTTATAAAATGAACATAATGATAAAGATATAAAAACAGAAATCAAAGGTACATATGAGCACATAATTATTAGTGGAGGAAATGAAAAACATATGACCAAAATTACTTATTGGCATATGGATTTAAATGTATTCAAAAGCTGAAACTCTATATTATATATAATATATAAAATCATTAATAATAAAAGTAAAAAAAACTTATCTAATAGTGAAGATTATTTTTATGCGATATTACAATTATATACAGACGAAAATATAAAACAAGTACAAATAGAAACTCCTAAAATTATATAAAAATTTGTATTCCTCCATTAAAAAGTAATATTTATATCATTATAATAATAAAAATTGTTAAAATATTAGTTATAGCTCTTATTTTATTTACATTATACAAGGTTAACATAATTATTATTACTATATTGCATCATAAAAATAATTTTTATAATGAAATACAATGTGACCATAAACTCATTATATAATTAATCCATTTATTTTTATTATAATAATTTAGTTAGCACCCTATGGATCATATATAAGTCGTAGAATAAAAAGAATTAGGAACAAATGTGATAATACGGGAGAAGAATGAAATAGAATGTAACCACATCATGATTTAAAAATATTTCACCCGTCATGAGATACAGTGTACTATATAATTTTGATTAATTTTATCATTAAATATAGAATTCCATGAATAATATTTTGCCTAATAAATGTTTTTTTAATGGATAACAAAACAAGCTTCTTGTATTAATAATTATTACAATTAAATTATATATATAAGCTTGTGTATAAGAAGTAATAGATTAAAAATATTATAGTAAATAAATATGCAGCATTTATTTTCTGCTTATGAAATAATATATTATTTTAAACTTTTTATTAAAGAAAGAAAACGAAAATAAATTTAAATTAATAGGTGAATCAAATTAATAACCGAAAGGACTTTTGTGTAAATCTAAGAAATGATACAAGATTTATCGCTAATGAAATATTTTTATTTAATACTACAATTCATTATTTGTATTATATATATAAAAGAATCTACCTTAAGTGAAATATATATTACACTTTACTGTATTTGAAAATTTTAGACTTTTATTATGATAAGTGTCTAAATTCTATATATTAATATTATAATTCATAAATAATAATATAATTTTATTAATATCTAATATAAGTTAAAATTGTAATGCATTATTATACCTATAT